CCCGTGAAATTTTTTTTTCTATACATTTTTAATTTTTGTGAAAAAAAAAAGATTATAGAGAGAGAATATATATATAATATATATATATATATATATATATATTATATATATATATATATATATAATATAATTTATTGTAATCTGTTCTAACTCCAGGCAAATTAATCGACTAACAATTAGACCGTATTTTTTGCGAGTGTTTCTTGAGCATCATAACGCCATTAAAATTGGCTTGTTCAAAGCAAACTAACTGGTTTATTATGTACATCCTATGCCTGCACAATAATAGCATAGAAAATCAACACTAGGTTCGTTTGCGCTTCCAATACGCTTCTACTCACGCAAAAGCAATCTGCGTCACGTTTAATTATGTGTTTTGTGCGTCAGTAGATAAAAATATTGGTCTGTGTAGCTTGACCCAACCTCTTTACAGCCTCCTTACTCATCTCTCTTATTACTCCTTTATATTTTAGTTCAATCTATCTTAAATATGCACCGAAATCTTTAGAAACTTGTGTTTAATCTATTCTAGTTCTCTTTTTTTTCGTTTCTTTTACTTCCTTGCTGCACTTTATTCCTGCTCTCATTTTTTCTTTCTTTTTTTTTTACTTCCTTGCTGCACTTTATTCTGTTTCGTTCCTACCCTAATTTAGTTCATTAATTCCCACAAAGCAGCGCGATCTTCGTGTATTTATGTAGTTTTTAAAAGCAGACAAGATAGCATGAACTTTCCTTTAGTAAGTATCTTGCTACCTCTTCAAAACCTTCTCTGAAGACGGCCACTTAACAAACCTTGTAGAGAATTTCGTAGAGGATATCACTAGTCTGCTTTAATTCCATTAAAAATATATTATTCACTCTTACAAATATCGTAACTGAATTAACTCTGGCAAACTTACAGCTTTTAATGATAAATCTTTCATTGCAAAATGTAGTTCATATTATGTCTTACAAAACACGTATGATGTGAGTCTTGTTGATTTTGTCTAGACAAATACAGTGTCTCTCCTTCCCAATCATTGCATGTGAAATACTTTTCTCGTAATCAACTTTTAGTATTATCAGCACATCTCAGTGTCTGAGAATGTTAACTAGAATTACATTAAATTAACATCTTAGACAATGTAGGCACGTTTGAAAATATGGGTTAGTTTCTTGTAGCTTTTAGTGATTTTCTTTCCCTTACATAGTTCCATAGTTAGTAAATAGCTGTTTGTAGTCAGTGTAGCTCTTTATAGTAAGAACAGAGCTTTTATTTTTTATTAATAGGCGAACTTTTAATAGTAAGAGAGCAGCTGAGTATAGAGAAAAGCTCTCTATTGTACAAGTGCAGCTCTTTAAATCTCACCAACTTTATCCCCAGGAGTCTGCAGAAATCATCATAAAGAATCAAAATCCCTATCTTCCTCCCTGCCTAGTGCCTTCCTCTCACTGCATGGTCGTAGCTCTCCCCTGTTTTTTCCTCCCATGATTCTTTCTATCTTTCCTGTTCTTCCAACAGAGTACCTCTACGGCTGGCTCACTTTCTGGGTCTCAATATTACTTATTGGCGTTGTCACCGCCTTCATCGGTGACGTCGCCTCACACCTGGGTTGTACTATTGGTTTAAAGGATTCCGTGACCGCCATAGCGATTGTTGCCTTGGGAACAAGCGTGCCAGGTAACCCGTTCCTCCCTGGGAGAACCACTACTCACAACCCCCGTCTGCGGTGTGGTGCAATACGAGTGATGAACCAATCGACGCTGAGGTAGCATATCACCGATACTGAAACGGTTTGGACCCGTGACGCTTATTGGGACATCCGTCCTTCTTTGCACCACACCCGATGTGAGGGGACGCGACAAAACAGATTGGCTCATTCGCGTTAATAACTTTGTGGCTATACTAGTGCGGGCATAGACCATTACCCCCTCACCATTGATTTCATAACTGAGTCATTAAAAGATTTTGCGAGGTAAGCTATGCAAACGTTACTCCATCACAAAGTAAAAAAAATATTAATACGTGTCGTGAGACTTAATATCTATTACGAATGACTCGCAAAAATCGTACTGACACGACTGTAAACAACTTAGCGAAGGGAGGGTTCGAACCCTTGGTAAGTCAGTCTTAAAACTAGCAGGGCAGTGCTCTGCGGTCCAGTGGGTAGCACACAGGCTACTAGTTTTTGGACTGGCTTGCCATGGGATCAGTCCCTGCTCTGGGTGAGTTAATATCTATTACCTTCACGTAGAGGTAACCTCGACTTTAGATGCACTGAAACTTTCTATGCCAAAATGAAACTTGGTGAAACACGCAGCATGTCGCTTATGTTGTAATTTTGTCATATATTGACTTTTGAGATTTACTGTAGTAACATAAAGCACAACTCAACTCTCACTATCAGTATACGATACCAGTCGCCATAAGAACACAGCGACAGCTCCGAGCATAGACTAATTATTTAACATTATGCAATAATCGCGAGCAAGCGATACATGATGCAAAAAACCACAGAGGGAGTTGTATGATAACTCTCGGTCTTTTATGTTGCAATCAACACATCTTCAGGAACTTGCAATGTTGCAGAAATGAGTAGGAAGTCCAAGTAGATTCGTTCAAGGTACGGCTCTAGCTGGACTTCTTACTCATTTCTGTAACATTGCAAGCTCTTGAAGATGTATTGATTGCAACACGAAAGGCCTAGAGCTGTCATTCAACTACCCCCGGTGGTTAACTTATATCGCCAAGTTATTTTCACATTTGTTGCACCAGCTCTAGAGAAATGCAGGAGATGCAACTGCAAGGGATCGGCAATAGGTTGGCAACCAAGCCAACTAAACTCTTCTATAAGATGGTTGGCTTATCTTAAAATAGAAAATCATGTGTGAAAAAAAACACTACACTGAAGCGTCAATTTTTATTTTGTTTTATTTACATTTTATTTACCTCAACCAACAGAATACGGCAAGGGGTATCCCACCTTTTTTATCTCTATTTTGGGAGTTGGGATTCTTACTGCCTTTATCGGTGACGTTGCCTCACACTTTGGCTGTACTATTGGACTGAAGGACACAGTCACTGCCATTGCCTTTGTGGCTCTCGGCACTAGTGTACCAGGTATGTTGTGGCGATGGTCACTCCTGGCCAGACTCTCGGGCACTGTGGCACTGGTCATCCCCAACTTCCGTGTGGGCCCTGCTCTTTCCTAGTGGCACCGTAGTATGTTTTTAATGCTTTATAAAGAGGGTCATTTGGGTTCAAAGCCGGGATACCCAGGTGGCATCGCCCCTACTTGGCGGACCCTGGTTCGAATCCACATCACGACCTGTTTACTCTATCTGTTAAGCTCAGAGTGAAATCTCAGCTTAGTAAACTTCAAGAATATTCTCCGTGCCATAGATAAGTGCAGTGGCCGCCGCACTAGAATAAGGATGTCGTGTTAATCACGGTCCCGAGGCTGGTCTCAGGCTGTGGGTCGAAATCTGGCTCTTGTTTGCGAGTGATCTTTCCGGAATTGAAGATTGATACCCTTGAATACATTCCCTTGAATGGACCTTTATTTCCCATCCGTGTAGTATATAGTGTTGTACATTTTAATACTTATGCCCATCTTGATTTATCCTTCACCTTCCTTTCTAAAAAAGGTTAATGTTTAAATCATTTTAACTGCATTGATAAAATCATTCGTTCACCTGTTCCTTTCCAAACCTTTTATTTATCTTTAGACAGTAAGTCAGCCGTCAGAACTTTGTTATACAAGAAAACATGAAGGTTTTATTTGTATTTTCTCTGCAAGGGAACGCCTGCGAACGCTCTTTAGACACACACACACACACACACACACACACACACACACACACACACACACACACACAGTTGTAATAGTTGAATATGGCGTATGCACCAAACAAAATGTAAATTATTATTATAATCAAAAAGAAGCGCTAAGCCACAAGGGCTATACAGCGCTGCATGGTAGGGAAGGAAGCAAGGGTATTGGGCGGTAGAAGGGGGGAGGGATGATCAGTAGGTTACAGAAAACAGGGGATAGTGCGGGGGCAGTGGGTAGCAAGAGATTGAGGTAGAAAGGGCTGAAGGCATCAGAGTTTGTGAAGTAAGTCAGTTGTTGTCAAAAAGTCAATGGGAAAAGTCCGGATGAAAGGTGGTCCATCAGCAGAAGGAAGGTAAAGAGAGAGCAGCGGAACGAAGACGACGTCGGAGGGAAATTCGCGTGCTCGTTGATAAAGTGGGCAGTCCAACAAATTTGGCTGACTGATAATGGAGCCTGACAATTCTCACAGAGAGGACAGGGCGCCTCTCCATGAGATATCCATGAGCAAGACGGGTAAAGGACAATGCGAAGACGGGGGAGAGTAGTCTCCCAACCTCGACACTGGTGACAAAAGACGGCCAGTAACCTATACTCGGTTTAATAGATTGAAGTTTTGTTGCCGAGCATAGTAGACCAAAGTTGTTGCCAACGGGTGTGAAGGGGTAGCTATTGCAGCAAAATAGTCCGTAAATGGAATACGTCCCCCATATGAAAAAGGTAGGTCATGTACTGCTGACCGCGCAGCAGGTCTGCCTTTCATTGCCTGTACGTCAAAAATGACCAGGGACTCAACAAAAAAAATATCTTATGCTTGGTAAAGATGCGGCGTAGCCAAGTTGGATACGGAGGACTAAGGGGTGAGGTGGTATCAAATTTCTGTATAGCCTGTAAAGCACTAAGGGAGTCTGAGACAACCACAAATGATGACACAGGCATAGATGCAATACGGATAAGTGCTGCAAGAATGGCATACAATTCAGCAGTAAAAATGCTAGCCGAAGATAGTAAATGCCCTCGTACGACGCTGTCCGGAAACACTGCTGCGAATCCTACGCCGTCAGAAGACTTAGAGCCATCTGTGTACACTGCAATGGCATGAGAATGAGAGTGGAAGTGGTCAAGAAAAAGAGAGCGGGAAGCGACCGTAGGCAGTTAGGCTTTCGAGCAAGGGAGAGAGAAAGAACAGACTCGAACAGCTGGAACTTCTCAGGGGGGTAGGGAAAAGTGAGATGCTACATGAACATAGAAAGGTGGTAATTGAGGAGAAGACAAGAGCGAATGTAGGCGAAGAGAGAAGGGACGGAGTAAACAGGGGCGGCGAACAAATAATGTCTACTAATATCAGTGACCATTCTATAAATAGAAGGATTGCGGAGATCATAAGAGCGTACATAGTAGCGAAGGCAATGGGCATCACGGCGATCGGATAAGGATGGAACGTTCGCTTCTGCATAGAGGCTCTCAACAGGGGAAGAGCGAAAAGCACCAAGGCATAAACGTAATCCTTGGTGATGAATGGGGTTAAGGCTAGAGAGAGTAGCAGGAGAGGCCGCTGAATAGATCTGGTCACCATAATCAAGTTTCGATAAAATGAGGGTGGAATGTAGGCGAAGGAGAGTTCGACGATCAGCTCCCCATGAAAGATGAGCAAGGGTTTTAAGAAGGTTCAGCCGGCTGTGACAAGTTGCCTTCAGAGAGGTAATGTGAGGTTTCCAGGATAACCTACGGTCAAAGAGGAGGCCCAGAAACCTGACTGTATCACGTTCAGGGATACGGGAGCCATAGAGGTACAACGGATGATCGGAGATGACAGAGCGTCTAGTGAAAGTAATTTGGTGAGTTTTGGTGCTGGAAAATTTAAACCCAGGTGTGGTGGCCCAATTGGAAACACCGTCGACCGCATGCTGGAGAGAAACTGTAATGAGGTGACAGTCAGCGCTTGCACAGGCTCTGACTGCACCAGGCGTTCCATCACTTTGCAAACTGCACTGGTAAGAGCAATGGGACGATAGTGGGAGGCTTCATGTCCCGTAGTGCCTGGTTTGCGGAAAGGGAGAACAATGGCAGATTTCCACAGCTGTGGAAGAACTTGTGACCAAATAAGATTGAAAAGGCGTAATAGGACTGCAAGAGCTGACTGATGTAAATGTTGCAGCATACGAATATGAATGTCGTCGGGCCCAGCTGCCGATGATCGGCAAGCTGAGTGTGTTGCCTCCAGTTCTTGAAGTGTAAAAGGCACATTATACTGTTCTTCTCTGAGAGAAGAAAAGTCCAAGGGCGCTAACTCTCTGGCAGACTTTGAGGAAAGAAACGAGGGGCATAGATGAAGCCCCTGAGAAATACGGACCAGATGATTGCCAATTTCATTGACAACATCTAGTGGGTTTGCTATATCAACACCGGCAACCCGCAGAACAGGAGCCGAGTCAGGAGAATATTTACCACTCAGTTTTCGTACTATTTTCCAGACTGCACTCATAGAGGAAGCAGAGGTGATGGTGGAGACATAATCTCGCCAGCAAGTGCGTTTAGCGTCACGGATGACACTGTGAGTGATCACACGCTTCTGCTTAAAATCAAGAAGTCTCTCCGTGGTTCTATTGTACCGGTACCTGCTCCATGCAGCGCGTTTCAAACGTACTGCATGAGCACAAGCAGGAGACCACCAAGGCACGCATTTCTGAGAATGCCTGCCCGAAGTTTGGGGTATAGAATGAGAAGCTGTGGTTAAAACGGAGGACGAGAAGAGGTGTAAAAGCTCATCAATGGAGGACAAAGAAGGAACCTCACTAAAAACAGTTAGTTGTGAGTAAAGGTTCCAATTTGCCTGATCAAATTGCCA